AAGAAATATACCCCATTCATACGACATGATTTGCATACCTCAGTATATTTTACAAATGAGTAAATTTACTCACATGTGCAATTTCTGTTGTATGAACTGATATACTCATTTGCAGATTCTGCACAGTTAAGTAAATTTACACCTGGTCTGGACTAGGTGTTGATTAACGTCTGCATACACATTGTAGCAAATTGATAGTTCATGTGTGTAAATTGTATCGTATAAACACGCAACATATTTACTTATGTACGTATTTTGTTCTGTTTATTTTATAAATTTTCATTTTAAGTGTTGTTTTGGTTGTGTATGCAATGGAGTGTAAAATATCAGTCAGTAAACATGGTTGATTGATTAATTGTATATTGTTTAATTCTTCATTCTTACTAGGCACTCAAGGACATTGAGCAGGGAATGATCTTTTCCTTGACAGCACCTGCTGCGACACGGAACCTCCGTTTATACGGTCTCATCCGAAGGATCGGACTCCACGCCCAACAATGGGATTCGAACCTGCGACGTAAGGATCAAGTCCTTATTTTGCGACTCTATAGCAGACGCACAAACCACTGCGCCACACGCCGACTTGGTGACTATAGAAGGCAAAGCTCTTAAAATCAAGGAGCTATTATCCCCACCGAGACAACTTTTTTAATTGGCAAAAACGAGGGCATCTTGAACCTTTCTTGCAAACCTATGTTTATGTCTCTAAAGATATAGAGCTGTGGTCCCAAACAAGTGTCCTGTACGATCAATAAGTAGTGCCCTTACTATGCAAGTCCTTTTCTTGGGAATGCTCCGGAGCTATGATAGGAACATACATCCCATCAATCGCTCAGTCCCATTACCATTTAGCTCTTGATGACTTTTTTCTACCTTTCTATTTTTAATTCAGGGAAGCTACTCATATATAGGTTAATATTACAGGAATTCAATAAACTAGTGAAAGTAAGCATTCGTAAGTAACCTTTACACCTGATCTCATCATGAATGTCCAGAGGTTCCTGTTAGTTTCCTATTTACATATTTGTATTGTTCAAAGATTTTTGAGATCGATCACTGTTAGATTTTTTTCACCCTTTTCATTCTACTGGAAAATACATGATTATTAATAAAATATTCAAGCAGATATTTTATAATGGCCTCGCACACTTAACATACTGAAGATTTCCCAACAGCAACAATATTTTGAATGGTCCTATTTCTGCCAAAAAAAAGTCAACTAGTAGATGGCAAGTCGAATTTTTCTTTACACCCAACGGTTCTTCTACAATCTTTGATACGGAAGCAAAGACATTTTCCAACAATAAAGCAATATGAGCTGTATTTTTGAGAAATTTATTTGCTATTTAAATGTGTTATTATGATTAATATAATTTGTATATGATTTAAACCCTTGTGATTAATAAAACCAAAGTAAATTGTTTTAATTGTTTCAGAAGAAACGTTTTTGTACAATCGAATATAGAACATTATATAAGAGATCAAAAGTGCACAGGACGACAATAATGTAATTTTGCTATAATGAAAGCTTATATATAAAAGTTCTTCCATCGCAAATATAAGTAACTGTAGTTTATAAATGGTTTTTTTTTTCTATCATTGAAAAACTTGATTATAAAATTGCAATACAAATTTCCGATGTCAATCTTGCAGCTCATGTTGATAATTTTATTACGTTCTGCTTCTTCGAGTTTAATTTTTATACCATTCTTTCTCCCTCAAGTCATTAATTAAGTTGTACCAAGAAATCAATGAGGAATTATACTCAAACAGAAAGGAAAACCCTTTCCTATAAAACTTCACAATTCTGAATCTGTTCATCTCCTTAATCTATATGAATATGTGAGGATTACCTTACTGTACATAACTTTCGTCTGAACGCATAGCAAATTAACTTTTACTTACCTATGTAGATTTACTTATATGTAAATTTGCACACATGAGCAAATTTTCGTCGTAGGAATGGGGTATTATTTCCAGGAATTGTTTACTTTATGTTTTTGACAATTGATGGATACATCACAGTTTTCTTGTTGATTTTATATAGCATTTATGCAATAACTTCATACGTGTTATGTATTCATTTCATTATATTCTATAATACATATGAGACTAATCTGTATCTTAAAGACTGTGTATAATTTATAATGTATAATTTATCCAAAAAAAAAACAATCCATAGTATATGATTCTCTTTTGGTCACACGATCCCTGCAAAAACCCTAGCTTTTTACTTAAGGATTTAATACTGAAAACTCACAATCCATCTCTGGCTGATGGATTGTGATAGTTCTCCTGTGGTTTTTTAATGGTTTCTTTCAGTGGCAGCCGACTTTTTATTCGTCCTTTTGCAAGCAGTTCTCTGCGTTGCCTTGACTTACAGAAAAAAAAAAAACTCAATCATGTAACCTTTGTACTTCCTAAATTTGACAGTAACCTTTGTACTTCCTAAATTTGACAGGAATGGTACAAATGATAACATTAGTTCTCATCTGTTCGACTGTCTTCTGTATTAAAAACTTAGCAGTGTTTTAAAGTTACTTTCTGTAATCTAGCATAACGAAAGATATGCCTCATCGAAAAAAATGAAAGTTTCAGACCGTTAATGTAAAACAGTTTTCTATTCACGGCAACTTTATACATACAGTGATATTAACCGCAAATAAAGTTGCTTGCGTATGCTAAAATGTATTGACAATCAAGTTTATTTCAAGATATTTCAAACAAGAAAATATTTCTTTTTAATTATTTCCTGCATCCAACTTGACCTGTCACAGTTGACGTTTTTACTTAAGGCAACATTTCTGCCAGCTTTATGGTGTAACTGCTTTTAAAATTGCACGTGTACATTTTTTCATTATGTCTTTGCTTACCTAGTGAACAACTGTGAATTCACTATTTTCTGTAAGGTATTTATTTTCGTGGTTCTTAAGGTATAAAATGAAAGACCCATGAATATACGTCTATCATAATATAATTTCTCCAACTAAATTACTATTAAACAATTCTTTAACCATGAAATCAAGTCCTCATAAACGAATATATTTTTCTCAAACCTCGAAAATATGTGATGTTAGAGTTTCATAAAGACGATAGCATGACGCTTAATCTTTATTTTCATCATCTGGTTAAAGAACATTACACCCGACTTGTTAACTGAAGGCTTTAACATTACACCCGATTTGTTTCTTTGTCTCTATGTGCAGATTAAGCATTATTTCAACAAGCCCGAGGACCACTTGCCTTTTTAAGTTAAAATAATAAGTGTGCGATTCATGTGCAACATTAGCTATTCACCATTTAAGTTTTAACTTTATGTCATTGAAATTAGACATTATGTATACACAGTAGATAATACAAACAGGATTCGGAAACACGTTTTACAACTTATATTATTTCCTTTCCTTAAAGAAATTCACCAATCTGGGTCTCATTCATGGGCGTCGGAAGCAAATTGAAAGGGGGAATCGAAAGTGTGTGTGTGGGTGGGTGGGGGGGGGGCATATCAACAAAAAAGGTAAATCAAACTTACCACTGTCTATATAATGGTTAAGCCTCCCCCCTCCCTCAGGTCTTGACGCCTATGTCATTTTCACAACGTATTACGATTCTTTTTGAACATCTATCATAAGTACTTTTCATTTTTTTTTAAATTTTTAACACGCTTAAAAGTATCCTTATAGAATTCTATGATATTTTTGTATCTAACAAATGTACGTCTATAAGACTCAAAAGTAAATATAATAATGATGATTTATAGTGTTACATTAACATTTAGAGGCTTAAATATCAAAGTTGAAATAAATCAATAAATTCTTAATAATGTCTTAGAGTTAGATAATTTTTCACTTTGAATTTTAGAAAATTGCTGATTTCCAATTTCATTCAGTTTGAGTTGATGAAGGAATATATATATCAAAATTACATATTTAAAAGATACATATGTAGCTAACAAAAAACAATGTACAACATCATAACATAACAGGCATTAACTAAATCAAAAACAGAACACCATTCATTGTTAAATTTTAAATTGCACAAAAAAAAAAAACGTTTATGAAAATTCATGACAATTCATATGAACTTCGATAAAATCGATACCTAAACAATAGTGAAATATAGAATACGTAACAGTTAGCCAATCGCTTTTCAGACATTGATTATGGTACGATATATATATCTGGCTGTTGAAAGACCATTTAGCAGAATTTCACAGATTCACGAGAACGCGGCAGATTTTTACGCAACAAAAAAAAAATGAGCAATCAGTGGGTTATCACTTTAATTGTAGGCTTCTTAGCTTTATCTAAAGCTACCATTATTTCTCAGAAATATGCTGCGAAACTTGACTTTAATGATAAGAAGTCAAACAATGACCTTTTAGCGGAACATGAGGCTCAATCTTTGACTGAGTGCGCTGCAATGTGTCAAAGGGAGTGCGTGTTTTTTGGTTTTAATCCTAAAATGAAGAAATGCCGTACCCACAAAAAAAGTCTAACGTCTGGTACGTCTGAGGAGGCCGGCTGGAGATACTACTCGGATAACGGTATGTATATTTGGGGTTTTTTTTTATTCTCTTAGCTTCTTTGATTTTTTAGGTCCTTCTCGAGGGGACAGGATTTTTTTTTATCAAGTTTCCTGTATTTTTTTTTTTTTTAGATTTTTCTAGCATGCCCAAAGATTGCAAAGATCTTCAAGAAAATGGACAAACCATCACAGGGGTGTATGATATATACCCCTACAGAACATTAACCATTCCAATAAGTGTCCACTGCGACATGACCACGATGGGCGGTGGATGGACGGTAGGTTTTTTTATTTTATAATTAAAAGTACTTAATATAACACACCTTGTATCGATGATTTTAAGAATTGTAGGATTTTATTGTAGTTTATATCATAAAAAATGGATCCTACGAATGTTCGAAGCAATCAATTGAAATGTTACGCATGTTAATTTTTACAGGCAATTCAGAAACGCGTAGACGGATCCGTGACTTTGACAGGAACTGGACGGATTATAAGAATGGTTTTGGTTCACCAGAACAGAATGTCTGGATTGGTAAGTGTAAATCGGTTTCAAATAAGAACTTTTTAGTCCTTCAAAGTTTTAAGATAAAAAAAAATCTAAAGTTAAGACCAGGTAATGTGTGTTCTATGATATTCAGATATCGTGTTTTATTGATATTTCAAATAATAAAAAAAAATAGAAAAGAAGAATATCATTTAGCGGCATATTCTAATGAGACCAAATTTAGCAATATTGTCTACAGTTATGGAAAATAATTTGATTTTTCATTACGGTAGATTCATATAGATTTTAAAAGAATTAATTGTATCCGATGAACTTTTCAGATGATTTCAAATATATCTTAATACAGGAAATGACGTAATCCATAAATTAACAAAAGAAAACACCTCATCCCTGTATGTGTCCATCACTCTCCAGAATGGTACAACTCTGTATGAAATGTACGATCTATTTTCTATCTCCAATGAAGCAGGGAAATACAAACTCTTTCTTGCAGGACCTGCCACAGGGACACTAGGTAAGTGTATTTATGTTAAGTTCTTAAAATTGGGTTCAAATCACGTATATTATCAATAAGTATTCTTTTCTGTATTGAAAGATTATAAAGTTCTTGAAAAAAAGAAAGATGTGTTTTTTTCTGATATTATGTATACTTTTTTGATTCCACGCTAAATAATCATGTTTAATATTACAGAATTTCATTTGCAGATACAATTCATATACTCAGCAGATATCGAATTTGTTATTGTCAAGTAGATAAAATTTCTAATTATACATCTTATGTACAAGGAAAAATTATTTTTTTTTAAACAAACAAATCCAATAATTACATTTGTTCAACATTGCTTTTCAGATTGGGTTTCCTGATATTTTTTTATAATTCACATTTTAACTGATACGGAAAAAGTTTACAATAATAATAATTAAATAATAATCTGATTTTCAATGATCCACATTTTTTACTACTACTGAATAAGAAGTTTACAGTGCGTCATTAATCTTAAATGTCTAAAGGTTTGCAAAAATTTGATGATAAAAAATATTTGATCGGATAAATATTCAAATAAAAAAAGCTTAAAATGCCAAATTCAAAAGACCTCAACGCGTTTCACATTTACATTTATTTAATAGGAAATCTACCATCTTAAAACATTCACAGATACACCATATCTTATCTCGTTATTAATGATTTACTTTATATTGCATGTTATACATGTTTGAAGGCACGTTCTCGGACAAATATTGAAATATCATTTTTTCATATTTTCTAAAATTTCAAATGACCTTTAACCCCCCCCCCCAAACCCGTCTGTTGTTTACCCACAGTGTAACACGTCTGTTGTTTATTGTTATACTAGAGAGGATGCTATGTGAATTGTGTAGTGTTTTGTTGTCTTGTATTATTTTTACCTCTCCGTACAGAAATCAACACGTTAAACAATGTATTTCAGACGTACTTCAGTATTAAGATTAATGTGATGTAAATTAATAACTATTTTCTCTGTTATATATTTTCTCTAATTCTGCAGATGCCAGTATGATAGACACCAGGGATTCTACGGCTGAACTAAATAAATATTATCGCTCTACCCAGCACCTAAAGCCGTCTATCTTAGAAGTACCTCAGTATTATTATTGACAATTAGATTAAAAATATATATTAATCAATTAACTTTGTGATTCTTTTTGTTTGATTTTACAGGGGACAGTATGTTAAATACAGGTATTATTTTACCACGATCTGTCTGGGATGTTCTTCTCCACCCAGACAGAGGTCACGACGAGTATAGTGGATATAAATCTACTGATCTATTTTAAACAAGTGTCCATGTATATTTTTCTTTTTTAATTCTACAGGAGACAGTATGTTGGACACCGGTTATCGTAACTTCGATCTGTCTGGGATGTCCTTCACCACCCCGGACAGGGATAACGACGGGTGGGGTGATCACGGGTATAGACGTAACTGTGCTGCCAACTATAACATTAGAGGAGGCTGGTGGTTCAATGCCTGTCACTATGCCTTCCTTAACGGTCAATGGTCCCCGGGGTCCTGGTGGAGACCATGGTTTCCCACAGTAACGAGTGGGACGTCAGTGAAGGGGACCACCATGATGGTCAGACGGAACTAGGTAAACATCATTACATCTTAATATCCATTTTTTTTCTTTTTGTATCACTCTGAAATTTTCAGTTATAAAAGTTGTTTTTTTTTAATAAAAAAAATATGTTATCATACATTTATCTGTGAAGTATTAATTTTAATTTTTTTTTTAACAGACGAAAGATCATCCATGGATTACGGAAACCCCCAAGAGACGATTTTAAATTAATTTTTATCGCTGAGTTCTTTTTTTAATATTTAACATCAAGTAACAAACAGTAAAAGAAGGTGGTTGAACGGCTCTGTAAAGCGATACTGGATGTATTCAGTAAAAGATGTATTTTATATGTGTTGTAATAAATTTGAAAATAGAAAAATTTCGTTCTTTTTTCCAAACACTGATAAATGGAGATAACTGGACGGAGAATTAGGATGAAGATTACTTTTTTGTTAAACCTATTACAGTGGAACCTGTTTAATCCGACACATGCAATACTCTTTACAGCCATTTAATTTCATTTGTCATTTATAATTATCTCAATGATCTTTAAACGCTGCAATACTACACCTTGTTTATTCCAACACATATATTTTTAATCTGTTCCCCGTGCATGTCGGATAAAACAAGTTTCATTGTAATAAAGATGTTAAGATTTCGATTTTTTATTTTAAATTGACTGTAATTTTTTATTGTGTTTTTTTTTAATTTCAAAACACTCTAACACAGATCGGGAATTAAAAGGTTACATTTGTAATACGCGTTTTATTTTGACGTCACAAATCTTAAAAGCAAAATTTGAGAACATTTAAATCAAAAAAATCAAATTTGCAAAACAAGACAAGGAGTTAGAAAAAAATGAGCACCGATTCATTATTTTTTGAAAGATGTTATCTTATATTTACAACTGCTTTCGCAAATAAAAAGCAAGCTAACATTAATCAATATGTTTGCTAAAACTTTTGTAATTATGAGACTACATCTTTAAAAAATGATTCAATATGTGTGACAAGTCATTCTCTTTTAGGCAAAGTGTATACGATGGTTTATATACTAGTATATCCAAAAATTTGATAGACTACAACTTGAAATTTGTTATTAAATCAATAGGAAAAGTTTTAGAAGCTAATGATAAAAATTCAAGAAAAGTTTGTGAAACAAAGAGGCTTATGATAAATGTTGTCGTTTGCAGGTCAAACACCAATGTCAATATAAAAGTAGTTTTGGTACCAAAAGAAAAGTTCCTCACAATGAGTCTACCTTCTAAAATAAAAACCATAAAAGCAGCAACAGTTCAGTAATTATGACCAAAGTTAGAGATTTTCAAAAGTAGGTCAAACTGGACAAGGTCAAGGAGGCAATATTAATGATGCCCGAAAGAATTTCAGAAAGAATACACAGGGGAAATATTAAAGTCACGAAATCAACCATTCAAAAGTTATTACCAAAGTTTTTTTCAAAAGAGGTCAAAGTCTGATGTCCAAATAAAAGGATAAAAAATAAAAAGAAAATATTGGTATTCAAGAGAAGCTCTTACCACAAGAAATGAACCGGTAACATGGTAAACCCCTAGCACTAAATATTCAGTAGATACGTCCAAAGTTAACGTTTTTGAAAAGTAGGTCAAATCCATAAGTTCAAGGTTAAAGGTCATTACTGTTTGTACTCAAGAAAAGGTCTTATCAAAATATAAGCATGAGGAGTATGATATCACTTGATTTAACCGTGTAATAGCTACGCTAAGCTTAAAATTTTGAAAATTTCTTTAAAAGTGAGTCAAACATAAAGGTCAAAGTCAAAAATACTTTTACCATGGGAAAAGTTTCTACACGTTGAATACACCAGTAAAATATTAAAGCCATAGTTCATATGACCAAGGCTCAAATTCCAAATTGGCAGTCAAAATAAAGAAAAAAACCTGTGAAATATGAAATCCATAGCTCAAACCAATTAAAGGCTGTAGTCAGGGCTAATTGATTTCCCCACTTACAGATAAATTAGGAAAAAAATAACAAACAGACAGACAGACAGACCATCCTAGAAAAATATATTTGCCCCTTATTTTTTGGATTACGGATAGAAATTTTAAAAACAACACTTTGTGCTAAAATGTTTGTATGTTTGGTGCGAGGAGATCCCAGTCAGTTTCCTTGGGAAAATAACGAAACAATATAATGCACTGTCTGTCTTTGTGTACATGCTATTCATAGTTTATTTAAAACATGAGGATAAACCTAGATCACTTCCGAGGAGACGAATATACAATCCGAGGATAAATCTAAATCTCTTCCGAGGAGAGGAATATACGATCCGAGGATAAATCTAGATGACTTCCGAGGAGACGAATATACGTTAACTTAAGAATACTCCGTTTAATGATTTAGAACTAAATACACCATATGTTAATGAAATTATATAACAAAAGATAATGGTTGCAAATGTTTATTTTAATTTAGAGAGAATGAATCATTATGTAACAGAACAATCTTCATGCTCCAAATAAAATGGAGAATCCTCACAAATAAAGGGAAGTTTTAGTCCGTCTTCTCCTGTATAGTACGTGTAGTTTCTCTCTGTCACCCAGCGCCACCTGCCGTCGTTATGATAAGTCAAAAGGAGGCCAAAGATTGGGTCAACTGCTGTCTCGCCTTCGTCGTTAGGATTCCAGTTCTGATACGTCACAGGTGTCCAATTATCAAAAATGAGTCTTTCATTGTCGTCAAATGTCAAAACATTTGCGCGAAATGCAAATGAACCGTTGAGATCAACTTCTGCAGAAAAGGAAAAGAAAAAAATACACAATTCTCAAAAACCTATACATTTTGTATACTTGTCATAACTTTAATGTATGAACAAGGATTACAACTACCTTGTGAAGAATGTTTTTCACTCTTCGTATGTAATATGAAATGAAATTCTAAAAATTAATTAAACTTGAATTTTTGTCCACATTCAAAGGGGAAATATCCTTTCTTCGTCATGTTATAGAACAAGAGGCCCATGGGCCACATCGCTCACCTGAGCAACTTGGGTGATGCAGATCTTTACCAGATTCCCCCTCTTGCTATACCTATCATGCCCAACAACCCCCTTCCCTTTTTTATTTTAAAACTTTAGAATCTACACTTCTCAAGGATGCTTCCACATACGTTTCAAATTTCCTGGCCCAGTGATTCTTGAGAAGAAGATTTTTAAAGATTTGTTCTATATATTTCTATGTAAAACTTGGATTCCCTATTGTGGCCCCGCCCTAGCCCCAGGGGTCATGATTTTAACAATTTAATATCTACACTACCCAAGGATGCTCCCACATAAGTTTCAGCTTTCCTGGCCCAGTGGTTCTTGAGAAGAAGATTTTTAAAGATTTGTTCTATATATTTCTATGTAAAACTTGGATTCCCTATTGTGGCCCCGCCCTACCCCCGGGGGTCATGATTTTAACAATTTAATATCCACACTACCCAAGGATGCTCCCACATAAGTTTCAGCTTTCCTGGACCAGTGGTTCTTGAGAAGAAGATTTTTAAACATTTGTTCTATATATTTCTATGTAAAACTTGGATTCCCTATTGTGGCCCCGCCCTACCCCTGGGGGTCATGATTTTAACAATTTAATATCTACACTACCCAAGGATGCTCCCACATAAGTTTCAGCTTTCCTGGCCCAGTGGTTCTTGAGAAGAAGATTTTTAAAGATTTGTTCTATATATTTCTATGTAAAACTTGGATTTCCTATTGTGGCCCCGCCCTACCCCTGGGGGTCATGATTTTAACAATTTAATATCTACATTACTCAAGGATGTTTCCACATAAGTTTCAGGTATCCTGGCCCAGTAGTTCTTGAGAAGAAGATTTTTAAAGATTTGTTCTATATATTTCTATGTATTACTATTATCCCTATTGTGGCCCCGCCCTAATGATTTTAATTTAATATCTACATTATCCAAGGATGCTCCCACATAAGTTTCAGCTTTCCTGGCCCAGTGGTTCTTGAGAAGAAGATTTTTTAGTGACCCCACCCCATTTTTGTCTTTTCTTGATTATCTCCCCTTGTAAGGGTACTTGGCCCTTCCTTTTAACAATTTAAACTCCCCTTTACCCAAGGATGCTTTGTACTAAGTTTGGTTAAAATTGGCCTACTGGTTCTTGAGAAGAAGTCGAAAATGTGAAAAGTTTACAGACGGACGGACAGACGGACGGATCAGAAAAGCTCACTTGAGCCTTCGGCTCAGGTGAGCTAAAAAGCATGTAGAAACAAAAAGTTAAATGTATCAACCATAGAACTTATGAAATGATGAATTTAAACATGGCTGCTGATCTTCTTGTTAAAGTCACCACGTTTATCAAAGACCATAAAAATAGATGTGTGAGATTCTTTGGTTTCTTTTATGTCCAGCTCCTGCAGGATATATCGTATCGACAGAAGAATAGAAATTACCATTGTTAATTGACAATACGTCGTTGATATACCGTTATCTAAATGTCGAGTTGAAGTCCATAGCAAGTGTTTTCTACTTTTCACGGAAAAGATTGTGCACTTTGTAGATTCTGCTTCATATGAATGCAAAAAAAGGTCTGCTTATAATGGGGCGCAATTGGTACCATGGAATTCCACTAGATCGTTGGAAGACCTGGTCTCCAAAAACAACATCGATAATGTCAATCAGAAACTCATGCATCTTTTTGATGCTAACTTTAGAGTACTTGTGTGTACAACTAGAATGTGTCTTAACAAAATAATTTCGCAAATTATAAATAAATTAACGAGTACAATATTTTATTGAAAAAAAAACTATCGATATCGAAAAACCTGGACTTTAATTTATTGTGGGGAATATTTG